CCTAGGTCCATTACTACACTGGGTTTACAAAATGGTGATTTTTCTATCATTCTTCATGTAATTATTAATGGTGATTCTTCTATAAGAATTTTCCTTCAACAACTATTTGAATACCCTGAAATAGTTTTCACAGGAAAGACAATAATAATTGCTTCTTTCATATTAGTTTCTAGAATAAAAGGTTGGTGCCATAGCAACGAAAGCAAAGCAAGATGAAAAAGTATCTAATAGATATTAATATATATTAATAGAAATGGGAAGAGAAAATTAAGAAGTAGTATTTTATCTTTTCAAGCTCTACAAACAAATCCTCTCCCAATTTAGGTACAGTCTATTTTTTTTCCACACATGAAAATCCTGAATAGAACAATTCATTAACAATTCATTAATGCTTCTAGATCAGCAACTGTCCAACTCTAAAGAATATTTCTTTTAGGGGTCAACTGTCTCATTGAGAGGAAGAGGATTTACACATGCACGTCCCATTAACATTAATAGGAGTTACCAGCATAAATCCCCCTGCAGTGATAGGTGAAAAGACTTACAGGCTACTAGGATTCAAGTTCTAATGATTATCTGTCAAATAGCCCTAAGAATCATCATCACCAGAAAAAGCAAACACAGCAACTTGTATGGGAAGAGCATCTCATTGCAGCCCCACAGACAAACTATATTAATGGAAAGAAAACTGGCCTTAAAAAATGTGACTGGGGGGGGAATCTGGGTGGCTCAGTCGTTAATCAGCAGTCTTGATTTTGGTTCAGATCATGATCTCAGGGTCATGGGATCGTGCCCAGCATCAGGCTCTGTGCTCAGCATGGAGGAATCTGTTCCTCTCCTTCTGCTCCTCCCCTTGTCCTATCTCTAATATAAATAAAATCTTTTTTTAAAAATGTGACATGGGATGCTAAGGGTTAAACCATTTAACATTTTATTTTTTAATTTTTTTAATGATTTAATTTATTTATTTGACAGAGAGAGAGCACAAGCAGGGGGAGCGGCAGAGGGAGAGGGAGAAGCAGGCTTCCCTGCTGAGCAGGGAGCCTGATGTGGAGCTCGACTTCAGGACTCTGGGATCATGACCTGAGCTGAAGGCAGACGCTTAACCGAGCACCCCAAGGGCCCCTAACTAACATTTTTAAAAAGCTACCATACGGTACATCATGTTTTTGATGTAGTGTTCCATGATTCATTGTTTACGTATGGTGACTAACATAATAAAATTAAATTAAAAAAAGAACTAAAGCATAAACAGATGCTAGCAAAATATTAAAAAAATAAAAAAAAAGCCATCATTAAAGAGAATTCAAACATCAAATCACTTGTTTAAAAAAACAAAAAAGTGTGAATACTGTATGAGCTCCAAGGTGTTTGAAGGATAATACAGCTACTTGTTTAAAAATTCAATTAACCTTATTTTCCCAAATTTGATTTATAAATAATCTCACAGATAAATTGTCAGTTTTGAAGGAGTCCTGTTATCTTTTGAATGCATTCTGAGAAGCTTTAGGAAACTACCTGGAATTGACAGAAAATGTCACTCCGCTTTAATTATTTGATCCAAGAGCAAATCAGAGTTAAATGAATGATTTCTGTATATGAGGAACACCAGCAGTCTCTTATGTATTTCAAGTAAATTGTTGTGGACTCAACCACCAAAGAGAAAAACATTTCAGGTTCTCATTCAACAGTATGAAAACATTTCATATTCTCATATACTAAGTGAGATGTAAAAACAGTTTTTAGGCAATGTACTATAAAGCCATAGCCCATGCCTCAAGCACCCATTTCAAACAGAATGAGATCTGATGCTGGCATCTAGAACAATTTGCTAAGTAAATCAACCCAGGTATCATTTGATTTTGCCTTTCTCACAAACCTGACAGAGTTGACAAATACTTAGAAACAAAACCAAATATACAGCTGGACAATTGTTTAAATAATAGACTGATATCAATAAATCAGTTCCAAGACAATCTTTAATTTCTTGGTATATATGCAAAGTTTTTTTTTTTTTAAGATTTTTTATTTATTTATTTGACAGAGAGAGAGAGCGAGAGCAGGAACACAAGCAGGGGGAGTAGGAGAGGGAGAAGCAGACCTCCTGCAGGGCAGGGAGCCCGATGCAGGGCTCGATCCCAGGACCCTGGGATCATGACTCGAGCCAAAGGCAGACGCTTAACGACTGAGCCACCCAGGCGCCCCTATATGCAAAGTTTTAATAGTAAAAAAATAGGAAACCACACCTGAAAGGCATCAGAACACTTTTATTTCTTCTGAAAACTTACTGCTACAGTGTGAAAATTATGAATAATCATTTTTATGCCTTTGAAGTGCATATAAGAAAATTAACGTAGAGATAAATTATTCAATATCAACAGCAGTAAATGACTTATAAGAAAATTGTTTAATTCCTGCTTTAAAGGATCAATACTTAGCGATCAAATTTCAACAACATTTTTTGAGGTCTTTAGGACTTTAGACAAAGGGCTGCCTTCTTGGGAACTATAGCTATGACAGAAGTTATAATTATTAGCATGGTCATTATTTTAGATAAAAGGCTGCTAATCTCAGAAACTACCATTCTAGAAGTTAACCATTAACATGGCCATTTCACTATGGGTAACTAAATATCATCAGAGATGGGGAAAATTTTAACTCAGTTTTCCTATAGAAAAATACCTACATTTATAATATCTACCTACCTACCTATTTGCTTTTCTGGGCAGGCATGCCAACTAGATAAAGACACAGTAGCAACACAGGGTAACTGGTTTTCATGTAGATCACTAAGCTGAATGGTATTATCATTTTTGGTTAATAAGAAGCATGTATAACTAAACATTTTAAACACATGAATCAAAATTCTTTGATGACAATATTCAAAATTTTAAATTAGCTACTGAGATTTCTGTATCACATACAACATATTAACTCTATTCATATAACTTCAGGCTTATGGTTTTACAACAAAACCAAAAGATTTTTCCTTTTTTGGCTTAAAACTATGAAAAAAAAGATTTACTTGCAGTAATTAAGATAGCTGAAAAGAAAGCTCTTAGAATAATTTCTATTACATTCTGAGGCAACAAGAAATATCTAAAGTTCTCTACCATAATGTTTTTAACAGCTGTGTAATATTTTAATCACCATTAACCATATTCAGGAGCTTTTAAACACTTAAATAGTATTTAATAAATAACCCGGAAGAGAGATTATGATGCTGGCTAATGGATAAAATAGGGTACAATATGGGTTGGGCCATGAGACCTCAGAGCATCTCCTTCCTTGTCTACATATAGATAGCTGCAGTAAAGCTGTCATAGTCTTTCTAGTTATTATTCTGGCCTACCCTGATTGGTTGCTTACATAAATGTGTATGCTGCATTCAAGAAGCCTTAACTCTTAGACTATAACAAAGTACAGTATCTTAATTGGTGCAACTTACTGCAATTGTATTCAGACTCAATACTTTCATATAGTGGAACCTTTTATATTGCTTGTATTGAGGGGCAGGGAAAATACCTGGTGCTTCAAGGTAGGTATTGTGCATTTAGCACACGGCATAGTTGGGTTTCAGGAAACATGATTTGACTTAAGAAAGATCTGAGTCTATATAGCAAAATGGATTATAATGTGATTCTACTATCCCTAATTTGTAGGACATTATAAAAGGGGAAGAGAGGGAGCGGGCCAAAGACTTAGGAGATGGGGTGTACAATGGGCAGAGGAGTTAGGAGCAGCCTGAGAGGCTGGGAAGGTTTTCCTTCCATCTGGATTCAGCTATATCCACAGGGGATTGGAAAGGTGAGGCAAGAGCTACATTCCTTGGTTCTTTCTATTTTCTATGAATCTGTGACCTGAAAGAACTAGCCTCCTTTAAGATCTCTGAAATCTGGAGAGGTCATAGCCTCACTGCAACTGTGTGCTTTCTACTGTAGCAATGGCTCTCTCATTGGTAATGTAGGCCAGAATGCACAATAAACTTTTTATACATTTAATTATTGAAATAAATCCAAAGTATTGCTCAAACAGAACCATCAGAACTTGGCATGTGGAAAAATTTTAACAGTCACTGTCATTGTAACTAGATTTGCCGGCTACACAGAGCCCCAACATTTTTATGTTAAGTGTATATTAGGGTTTACCAACGGTCATACTGTATTCAGAGTCCTTAGTGGTTCAGGTTTACCTAGCAGAAAAGGAATATGAAGAATTTAGAGTGCTTTCCCTACTAAGATTCAAAACCACAATTCCATGTTACTATGCTTACTGGTCTACAAGACTATAAAATACTCATTTAGGAAACAGATTTTTTTTTTTTTTTTGCTTAGTTGCAATAAAAACACTGTGATCTACTGTGTTGGGGGGGAGTTGACAGCAGACAATTATTTGCTGCATGGGATTTTTGATATATACCTCCAAGTCAAGGGGAAAACAACTTTTTTCTCCCCCAGAACTACCATTCTATGGATTGAACTGTATTTATCTTCAAAATTATTCTCCTACAGTAGGCAACGTGTTACTATTTCCACCTTACATATGGAGAAAATGAGGCCTATTAAGTTAAACAATTTGGGGGCGCCTGGGTGGCTCAGTCGTTAAGCGCCTGCCTTCGGCTCAGGTCATGGTCCCAGGGTCCTGGGATCGAGCCCCGCATGGGGCTCCCTGCTCGGCGGGAAGCCTGCTTCTCCCTCTCCCACTCCCCCTGCTTGTGTTCCCTCTCTCACTGTATCTCTCTCTGTCAAATAAATAAAATCTTTAAAAAAAAAAAAAAAAGTTAAACAATTTGTCTAATATCATCAGTAGTATAGCTAGAACTAAATTGGGTCCATACACAATTAGGCTTTAGTTACCTGACCAGACAGAATTTCCACATACTGATGAGCATATCCAAATCTTTCCTTCCATTTCTTCAGTCCTATAAGCTTTCCTAGTGTGTAAATGATTCACATACAAATATCACTACTAACAAAAAATGTTGAGTAATGGACTCATGGTTTATTTGTAAAAATGTGTACTTTAATATTGGCATTTTCAAGAGTTCTCAAGATAGAAAACAAACCAAACCTCTATTCCAAACATAGGCTCCTGCCTAGATCATGATACTTTAGCTTTCCTCAACTACATTTACGTGTGCTTTTATCATTGGTGTCATCATGCCCATACCCATGAAGAAAATAGAATTAAAATAATCAAAGGAAATATGTGACCTGATTCTGAAGATGCGGCTTTCAAACAAAGATCCAAAGAGGTAAGCAAAAGCTTTCTGAATATGACAGAATTATTAACAATGCATAGGTACACTTTCATATCCATAGCTACTATACTCCTGGGAACCCATCCATTTATATTTATCTGCTAATTCTACAGGTTTGGTAACTTAAAGCAGGTAAGCCAATGTGCTTTATAAGTGTTTTGTGTTCTTACAATGTCCTCTTTAAGGAAAATCCCCTTTTGGATTTCTATGACCTGCTTCTCTTGGTAATTATGTATGTCAACTGGCTGCTGTTTTCTAACATTTTTCAAATAGTTCTTCCATGAAGAAGACTCTGAGGCCAGGAGGAATTTCCAAAGTGGGGTATTCAGTTTGGCATATATCCATTACTGAGAGGCCTCCTCTGGGTTTCCCAGGCTTGTGCTTTCCTTGGGAGTCTCTGAGTTAGCTTCTGGTAGGACACTGAATTCAGAAGCCTCTGATTGTAAACTGTCCCCATCAATGATAATGTCTTCAGGATTTGGTGGGGGTGGACAGAAGTCTTCATTGGGGCAGATTAGCTGGAAAAGTGTTTCAGCCTGGCAAGGGAAGAAAGGACAAAATAGTTTTTGGATATCAGCTTAAAATGTATATGCCTTTCTGAAATTATTTAAAAAATGAAGTATCACCCTTGAAAATTTAAGTTATAGACCTTTATCAAGTATACATGACCTTCTAAAAATCTGCTTTCAGAATTCCATGACTTCTCTCCAATTCGATGCATGCATTCAGGCCCACCATTAAGTATATCAGTACTTGATCAGATTATCAAGTGTTAGATAGCTGAGACTTTAAGGACATTCATTCTACACATCAGTAGAAATACAATTTCCTTTAATATTCTTTATGTAAATTCCCAATAGAATCTATTTGTGATAGCTGTACAATTAAACTTGGCATATAATAACTTTAACAAGTCATTAAAATCAAGAAAATTCTTATTTGTTCAACTATTTGCTTTTCTGGTATAATTTAACTCCCCCCGGGCTTTAAGGAGTATAACATGGTGTTCAAGATCACGGACTCTGAATAGATGGCCATGTGTAAATGCTGGCTCTGCCAATTAGTAGCAATGCAATTTGGGGGAATGCTTAATCAACTTTTGAGCCTTGCTTTCCTTGTTTATGAAATGGCAGACTAAGCCTCTATATAATATGGTAGCTGTTATCTCTGTTATTAATAATAACATAAGTTAAAAGGTCAAGATTTTATTTTTAAAGATTTTATTTGAGAGAGACAGAGAGAGAGAGAGAGAGAGAGACTGCGCACACGTGTGAGTGCAAGCGGGGGGCGGGGGGGGGGAGCAGGGGCTGGGAGAGGGAGAGAATCTCCAACAGACTCTGCCAACATTGGCCGATGCGGGCCTATGTGGGGGCTTGATTTCGTGGACCTGAGCTGAAACCAAGTCAAACGCTTAACCAACTGAGCCACCCAGGAGCCCCAGAATGTCAAGATCTAAGCTGAGCTTAGTCTGGCAGGATAAGAGAGTAAGAAACTGAATGTGATTTTAATGAACACACACGCATGCACACACACATACACACACGAAAGCAAATGTTAACAAGAAACATTGCTATTCTATTCTAAATATACCCTTACTTTTATTTAGATGAATACAGCTCATTGAGATAAGGGTCTTTGCCATACTAGGGAGCTTGCACTCTATCCTATTGGTAAACAAAAGTCATTAAACCGTTTTAAGGTATATGCTTGTTTTAAAGGCAACGTCTTTCTGTACCACTTTAATCCTTCTTCCTGACATGCACACAAAGTCATCCCTTAGGCCAGGTGTTGACAACTATGGTCCACAGGCCAAATCCAGCCTGCTATTCTTGTAAATAAGGTTTTATTGGAACACAGCCACTCTCATTCATTTATCTATTTTCTGTGGCTGCTTTTCCACTACAATGGCAGGGTTGAGTAGCTGCAGAAGAGACGACAGGAGCTGCAAAATCTAAACTATTTACCATCTGGCCATCTAGTGTTGGTAGACTCAGGTAGTTGGTCCATCTGGGAATTTAAAGTGACATTCCTTGGGAGTGAGTGGAGGGATACTAAACAGAAACTTTTGAGCTTTGATGTGAAGTTGAAAGAAGGGACAGAGAAAAATACTTTCCCTCTTCAGTATAAAGGGTATATTTTTTGGACATGCCATTTTACTGTGACTATTTTGAAACTAAATATTTGAGATGCCTACTTTACTCTCCACCCCAGGAACTCACCACAGGTCTTTGCTGGAGAAACTTAGCTCTTAGAAGCAGGAGGACTGAGGTCAGAGCCTCTATCTCATCCTTTAGTTCCTCTTTTTGTCTTTTATCTCAACCTTGTCTGCCTATAGAAGTTCTCCCTCCCTCTTATTTCCTTTCACTCTCTGCATGCAATCAATGGCCAAATCCTGACAATCTTATCTCTTAGTTCTTGACTCCATTTTTTTTTCCTTCCCTAGAGATACTATAGGCATACATCATCTTTCCCTTAGGTAACTGCAACATCTCCGAACTGGTCACCTCGCCTCTAGGGTTCCCCCATGTAATCCATTTCCATGCTGCCTTCAGAAGGGGTCTATGGAAATGAAATTCTGGTTATGCCACTTTCTGGCTTAAAACTCTTCAATGACTCCCCATTTCTTAAAAGGATAAAAATCCAAGATCTTTGCTATGGCATACAAAACCCTACAGGCCTATTTCTCTAGTCTTATCATTCATTCCATCCCATCTTCATCTTTCAGACTTTTTGCTTCACTAATACCTACTTATGTGCACTTTCTTAAACATGTCATGTTTCTATCATGGATTGGTGCAGATGCTGGAATGTTTCAATTATCTTCCATTTGTATGGGGAATTGCTACTCATCTTTTATCTTCCTCTCTGCAAAGTTCTTTGACTCCTAAATAGAGCTCATGGCTCCTCTGTATTATTTTTGAACTTTGTATATTATTCTATTATTGCATATACTGTACTGCACTGTCATTTGTTTACATGTTCTTCTCCTTTACTAGCCAGTGATTCCTTCAGGGATGACAAGGACTGAAGGAATCAACTCTGGATCCTTATTCCTGGTGTGGAGTAGTATTCCAATATACATTTTTTAAAAAATGAACTAAAGAACTTTTAAAACTGTATATTGTAGAAATGTTGAACATAAATATAATAATTATTATTACTACTTTACTTCTATTCCAGTTCCTCTGTGTCTCACACCTTCTCTCCCTTTTGTTACCTACCTGTAGGATACATTTTCCTCTGGACCTCAGTCCCTGTGGCTGATTCCACACTCTGTTTCCATATATCCTTGTCATAATCTGTCTCCTAGGACTGCTAACCAATTGCAGGCTGCTGCACCACCCTTATTTGCTTTCTACCTGCTTGTGGAACTCTCACCATTAGCCCATCTGCCATTGGTCCTCACTGATGCCAATTTCCTACAGCCAGCCTCCAAAATCCTTCCCACCTCCTTTCTCTTACTGCTGGAACCTTTTAGGGTCAACTGCCATGCTCTGGAAGGTCTATCTAATACTTCTTGGTCTGCTGTATTTCATTTGTCAACTAAGTCTCAATTGTGAGAGCTGTCATAAGTAGAGGTTAGTTCAGAAGCGTTATTAACTTTTAATCCTTTTTGCCCCCCCCCCACCTTTTTTAGAGAGAGAGAAAACATGAGTGGGGAGGGGTAGAGTGAGAGGGAGAGAATCACAAGCAGGCTTCATGCTCAGCATGGAGCATGATTCTGAGCTCATGACCTGAGCTGAAATCAAGAGTCAGATGCTCAACCAAAAGAACCACCCAGGCACCCCAATCCTTCTTGCCCTTTTAAGCCAAAATCTAGCTTAAAGAGTAGAGAGTTTCATGTAGTTAAAAAAGTTAAAAAGGCATAATTATATTGTGACTTGGTTTCTTTATATTGGGAAGTATAGAGAGGACACACTGAGTTACTGAAGACATTCCCATGTGTATTTAACATACATCTAGACAAAACAAAACAAAAATATTTTGTCAATCTAGCAGTTTAATATATTTAGGATGTATCCACATTAACAAGATGAAAGTAGCACAGCACAGTAGATGAATGTACAAGCACTGGGGTCCAACAGACCCGAGTTAAAGTTCTGGCTCACAAATTTACCAGATCTGTGATCTTTGGACAAGTTATTTAGCCCCTTTGGGTCTTAGTTTCCTCATCTGTAAAATGGGCATGTCACAGATACTTACTTCATAGGGTTCTGAGGACCAAATGAAATAATATACATGTGATGCTTAGGATATTGTCTGGTACACAGAAAATGCTCAGTGAATGGTAGCTTTAGAAAATGTGACACCTAAAATTTCCCTCTCCCTCAATGGCAAGAGAAAGTGAACGATACTGCAATATGTGAGCAACTTGATAGGTCATATGATCTATAAAACTAGTCTTCAATTTACAAATTCTGTACCAAAAGTCATAAACAAATTGCTAATATGCCATAAAGACAACATTCTAAATGGTGGTTAGGCTGCCCACATCAGCCAATTTAAACCATTTTACACCTGAAATATAATACAAAGAGTACATTACTATATAATTATTCTTGTTCTCGTGGTAGTGGCACCTCCTAGGAGATGGGGGCTCCTGAAGGAGGAGTGAGCTATCAATGATCTTGGGAGTAGAGAACTATAGACCAGTCTGTTCATCAGTATGTGTGGGTAAATGAGACACTACCTGTATTAAGAAAAGAGATATCATATGTCAGTTTCAGAAAAAAAATAAAAAACTGAAGTAACAAACTATAAATACCAGCAAGTCACAGAATCACAATTTTCACTTAGGCTACTTATGCTAGCATCACTGTGGTGATAATATCTTGGTGTGCTCCTCCTGCACACAACTTTAACTTGTATTAAACACAGACCACTTTATATTTTTTAGTATGTTTTCAAATCATAAATAGTTCCATATGAACACAAGGGAGACAGGTCTATGCTATGCGACATCTATACATTTACAAATAGGAAAAGCAGCTGCAAACTTGCTAACTGGTAAAATAAAGCATTTGTGAAAAAAAAAGAAGTCTGCAAGTGCTTATGTTTACTACATAGACAAAGCCTAGGTGATGCTCTAAGAGCTTTTATAGACAATTTGGAAAACAGAAGTTATCAATTAGTGACTAGGCTGAACATAGGATGAAATACTGGAATTAGAACACAAGTTTATTTAAATACACTGGCTATTTGTAAATATTATTACTGATGCCCTTCAAAATAGGTATTATTTCTCCCCAAACTGATGTGAGGTTTAAAGCTATATAACAATTTAAAACTACTCACATTTACTAGTATATAATTAGTACCAAAAGTAGCATTATTATTGTTTTATACTAGGATAACACTGAAATCTACCTTCTTGGGAAGCAAATTACCTCATAACAAAATTATCCTTTAATTATAATCTTCTAGCTGGTTGTTAAGATCACATTAGCATTTGTATAATAAGTCCTTATGTAAAAAGCCTTCCCATTTTGGTTAAAAAACATTACAGTCCACTCAGGAATAAAAATGACTTAAGCTAGGGGCACCTGGGTGGCTCAGTCAGTTAAGCATCCTACTCTTGATTTCAGCTCAGGTCATGATCTCAGAGTCAGGAGATGGAGCCCTGCATCAGGCTCTGTGCTCAGTGGGGAGTCTGCTTCTCTCCCTCTCTCTCTGCCCCTCTGCACACATGCTCTCTAAAATTAATAAATAAATCTTTTTAAAAAAATGACCTAAGCTATCTGCCTGAAAACATGTTGGCAATTCTGCTTGGGAAAAAATGGAACATCAAAGCAAAAATGCCTTGGTCATTTTAAGCCATAAATGTGGAACTTGAACCATCTCAGGTTCCTATTAAACTAATAGAATGAATGATGGATGACCTCCCACTTTTGATATCACTGATTGAATAGGATTATCAAGGATCACCACTAGACTCTGAAGAGAGAAACAAAGAATGAGGCAAAAAAACTATAGATACATGGGGTCATGGCCTTGTTACTATGATTAAAAATTAAAGGGTCAATGAGGCCATTTGCTCCTATGAGATCCCTGCCACTAGTTGGATTGAAACTTCCATCTGTGGTCTTAATGTTAAATTATTCACTTACTGATTCAATAGACAGATATGCCAACTGTATCTGTGAAAAGTTTAGACTTGTGCCTCAAAAAAATATATTTTATGTTCTTCTCTTCCTGTCAGGTACAAAGAAGTGTATTTATATATACAAATGGATCTTCATCTGAATGGAATCATAGTTCACTTTTGTCAGCTTGTGTTGGCTTGTGCTGTACCAGTTCATAGCCCTGCCCAGAAGTGCTGTCACAAAATTCCACCTTGATTTAACATATTCCTCAGCAGCTATGACAGTAACTTTTGGGACACCAGCTTGTGTCAAAACATTAAAGGAATCATGTTAACTCTGAAAAACTTAAGTTACATGTTCTTTTCCAAAATAAAATGTTTTAAGATCATTTAAAAATTATATTTTGTATGTGATTAGTTACTTAGTTACACTCCTTTTAAAATGACTCAGAGGTTAACAAAGAAAAAAGGTTAGTGATTTCAAAATAATAAAACAATAGGCCTACAGTTTAAATTAGAAGGAGGGCATGTACTGCATGGAGCACTGGGTGTTATACGAAAACAAACTGTGGATCACTACATCAAAAACTAATGATGTACTGTATGGTGACTAACAAAATAAAATAAAATTAAAAAGAAGCAATATTTCTTTAGAAAACCGGCCTAACTTTAATTTTTCAGAATATGTATTTCTAACGTCTTCCATCCTTATTCCCACAATGGAACTCATAAATGCTCTCTTGCAAATTCATCATTATAGTCCAGAATGTGAAAATACTGGATACTATATTTAAAGTATATTTAAAGAAGTTTGGTCATTTATAGGAAAAAGTTTGGGGGCAAGTTACAGAGATGGTGTTAAATGACAGAGACACTTTTCTAGTCTTTTTTCCCACATCCCAGAGGAAAAAAACAATTCACTTTCCCAACCACACCAACTTTTTAACACAAAATGAGAAACACAAAGAGCTTACCTGTTTGACTGCATTATCATTTCCTAAACCACAGTCTGGGCCAGAGCAGACATAAACGTTGGACGGTAAATCATTATAAGAGTTCCTGCTGACATCTGAAGAATCTCTCATATTGAAGTAAAGAGCCCACAGAAGTCTTGGTTTTTCAACTTCTTCATTTTCTAAATGTAGACATACATTTTACTTACATCTATAGCACAATAAGCCTGTCAATTAATACAATATGTAGCCAATTACTAACAAAGCCATGACTATATAGTGTAGTAAATCAGAGCTTTGTATGTAAAAAATAGTAAATCTTTATCCACACGCTCTAATACATGTATATATTTCAAGCAATGATGGCTTTTCAACCTAAGACAAGTTAGATTTTAAAAATTATTTTGATTACTAGTAAGTTACTTAGATGTAACTCCAATTGTGTTCTCTTGAATTTCTATTATTTCTCCACAGTAATATCAAAGCATTTCTGAACACATTCATCCTTAAATTATTCCACTGAAGAAGATAAATTTTATGTTTCACATAAACAAACTAACTTGAAAAAATTATTAAGTCAATGATCTATACAGGATTATGAGATGTCCAGAAGACATCTATAGAGACAGGAAGTAGATTAGTGGTTACTTAGGGCTGGGGGAATTGGGGTAAGTGAGGGATGACTGCTAACAGGCATGGGGTTTCTATTTTGGGTGATGGAAATATTCTAGAATTGACTGTGGTGATGTTTGAACCATTTGGTGAATATATTAAAAAACATTGAATTTTACACTTTCGGTGGGTGAACTGTATAGTACCGTGGATTATATCTCAATAAAGCAGTTATTAAAAATAGTATATAAAGGATTAACACATTGATACCATAACTCACTAACACTTTGTCCTACTAGATTATAAAAGTAATGGCAACCAACAACAAAAATAAGGTTGTGAGACTTAAAGTTGTTTTAGCACATACTCTCTCATTTAACAGTGAGAATCTATTATGTGTGTTAGGCTTGGGCTAGGAGACAGAGATGCACAGATAAAGCAGAGTTAGTCCTTAGTCTCCTGATTTTTCATGTTCCCTAATACAGAGGGCCTAGCACAAAACAGACATTCAATGAAAAATTTCTATATTGATTTTCATCCTGTTTTCAGGTATAATCAAAGTATGATGTGCTTATTAAAAGGTTCTACTTTATTAATACCTAAAACCTATTCTTTGCTATCTTTTTTTTTTATTTTTATTTATTTATTTGAGACAGAGAGAATGAGATACAGAGAGCATGAGAGGGAGGAGGGTCAGAGGGAGAAGCAGACTCCCTGCCGAGCAGGGAGCCCGATGCGGGACTCGATCCCGGGACTCCAGGATCATGACCTGAGCCGAAGGCAGTCGCTTAACCAACTGAGCCACCCAGGCGCCCAACATTGTTTTTGTTTTTGTTTTTGTTTTTTAAAGATTTTATTTATTTATTTGAGACAGAGAGAATGAGAGAGACAGAGAGCACATGAGAGGGCGGAGAGTCAGAGGGAGAAGCAGGCTCCCTGCTCAGCAGGGAGCCCGATGCGGGACTCGATCCCGGGACTCCGGGATCATGACCTGAGCCGGAGGCAGTCGCTTAACCAACTGAGCCACCCAGGCGCCCCTATTCTTTGCTATCTTAATAATTATTTCCTTGCCACTCTTCCTCAGAATGTTATAAATTTTCTTTGCTTGAAAACAAAAAATATTGCTGTTAATATATTTACTGACTACAGAATTTTCTTTAGCCTGAATCTGAACAAAAATTCAAATTCTGTACAGTGATCACAATAGATGTATATAAGATTACCCAAGACCATGGGGTACCTTGTGAATCATAAAGAAAATACAAAACGTATAATTATCTAGTTAATTAGCTCTTATTGTTAAATTGGTAATTAATGTAGTGAAATTCACAGCTAATTGCAGTATTCAATTAATAAGAATGCCCAATTCCCCAATTCAGGATAAACACGATTTTGTTATATTTAAAGTATACCCGGGTGCCTGGGTGGCTCAGTTGGTTAAGCGACTGCTTTCGGCTTGGGTCATGATCCCGGAGTCCTGGGATCGAGTCCCACATCGGGCTCCCGGCTCAGCGGGGAGCCTGCTTCTCCCTCTGACCCTCTCCCCTCTCATGCTGTTTCTCTCTCACTCACTCTCTAATAAATAAATAAATAAATAAATAAAATCTTAAAAAAAATAAATAAAATAAAATATCCTCACTACAAGAATACCAAATATGTTATTTTTCTAGTTCATTTTGAATAATCCATAATTATTAGTGTGACAGGATGAAGAAACTCTGAATGGAAGAAGTGATTCCTTATGATGTCCCTTCCTAATGCTAAAATCTATTGAGTCTAAGGTATCACTAACTTCATGTAAACACATGACAGATGGTGAAACCTATTTACTGACAAAATAAAGGAACTTAAGGAACTCATATTTCACAGCTAAAACCATATGGCTCTTAGTAAATATATTGATTTTCAGTTTAGTTTCACTAAATTTTATGGGAAGACAATTAAACATATCGCCTGTGATTTGCAACACCAGACTCCAGGAGCACTGCAGAAAGAAAAGTGGGCTAAGGTCTGGAATTCCTTTAATATTGCCCAGTCCATTTCTAAGCATACATTAAGAGAGTTTATCTTGTATTTCATGAAAGTTCCAGCTCAAAGGAGGGCTTTCACTCAAAAGAAGTTGGGAAAAATGAATAATCCAATAGACTATAGGAAAGAAATTTCAAAGAGGTTGAAGCATTGAGAAGGAACCATGAGAGAGATGAAAAGTTGACATAGGCTGAAGATAAATGCTCTAGATAGAAGGGAGTTATCAGGCTTTGACCTTAAAACCCTCAAGAAGACATATAATTGCTTCATCTTTCTTTGAGGTCAGCTGGAAGGCAGAGAGATAGTTGAAAAAATAACATGCAGTTGTGAACTACACAGTTGTCAAAAAAATATTAAAGCTGCTGAGGTTTGGCTAGGAATATATCACCTAACCAGGAGTAGAACTGGTTTTCTGTAATAGCTCATTTCATCAGTTAGATAATGTAAAGGACTGAACAAGTAAAAGGTAATTTAGAATAAGAACTTACGCAAATTAAACTGAGATAAGTACAAAATAAGGTAGGCAGAAAAAAAAATCAACAATGTCATACCAAATACAAGTTACATGCCATATTTAGGAAGAGACTATTTTAGCAACATAGCAGAGCAGTGTGAGGACAAGAGTGTAAGAGACTGTCACAGCTGTGACCTACTCTGGATACAACAAATACAAAAAGGAATTAAGATAAGGCATTTGACTTCTGAGCCCAACAATTACCTAACATCCTTATCAGCCACGAACCTCAAAATAACACCTGTAAGAGTAATTTTTGTTTTTAGGTAGTTTTGTATTTTGAGATAGGACATGAGTGAGATGGGATGAGATAATTCCACATGCCATGCACAATCAAGGGAAAAAGAGAACATGGTGCAGTAATGATACTACACTGTAGACATTTCAATATATAGTACTAATGAAATTCTTGTTTCAATTCATATAGAAAATCTCAACTTCCTGGGTAAAATAAGAAACCATTTAGGATAGTTATACCATTGCTCACTCAGTCCTTTGAAGGATATTCTGAAGTCTGGAAGAACTAATCCAGACTGGTATGAATGGTGAGCAATCACCTAATTTTCTTACCTATGCAATCAGGTTGATTAGACATAGTAACAGCTGAAATTTCTTTGGACAAGGAAATAGGGAAGGGTTTAGAGATCTCTGATGTTCTTAAAGGAGGCTGGGGGTTTAGAGATCTTTGATGTTCTTAAAGGAGGCTGGGAGGTAGGGCTCTTGGAAGTATTGGTACAACTGCATCTTAAGACAGCGTATGTCAAGAGCTCCAGCTGACACCTTAAATGTGAAAAAGTAAGTAGAAGGAATAGAGGGAATACCATTCACAAACCTACTGAAATTTCTTAGATACACCAGCAAAGAAGTACTGTATTTGAGAAGAGAATATGATCTTTTACAATAAATAAACTTCCTTGCAAGGTAACTAGGCTGACTTTCACAAAGGCTTATGAAGTGCAGCACTAAACAGAATGTAGAACTCTAAAAGAAAAAATAAGCTCAAGTGATGTTATTCCTTTGGCACACATTTTAAAACAAACATTAGGAGAAAGGAAGGGAAAAATGAAGGGGGGGAATCGGAGGGGGAGGTGAACCATGAGAGACTATGAACTCCGAGAAACAAACTGAGGGTTTTAGAGGGGAGGGGGTGGGGGAATGGGTTAGCCTGGTGATGGGTATTAAGGAGGGCATATATTGAATGGAGCACTGGGTGTTATACGAAAACAATGAATCATGATCACTACATCAAAAACTAATGATGTATTGTATGGTGACTAACATAATAAAATAAATTAAAAAAATAAAAAAACTATTTACAATGCTCTAAAGCATAAGATTTCTTATTACTATTAAATAATTAAAACATAATAATAAAAGCCACTAATCTGTGAAAATAGGTGCTTTTGCTACAGAGAAGACTGTGCTTTAATGCACTAAAAGTTGATATTGCTCATAAAGTTCTTTCTCATTTAGGCAGGAAAATGAATTGAGCTCTCTTCTCCAGGTGACTTTGCCTCTTTGACCTGCCATGGCCCAGTGCTCACTTTATCTGGTGATTCATTTTCAATAACTCCAACAGTATTTGTTCTGACATTTTAATTAAAATATGACCACTACCTCATCCTGATGATAAAAAGGTCTATGTGTGAGTGAAAACTAGCTTTTTAGTGCCTCAGTGCACCTGAGGACCCCTCTGAGCACATAGTTCTTACTAAAGAATTTCACTCAGGTTCTAAACAATACATCATTTCAAAATGGGATCACTTTAACCATTAAGATTAATGTTTAAAAATCTAAAATGACTAGAGGATGCCAAATAATGAATATGTAATTTCCTCAGCTTGTTTTTTTTTTTAAAGAAAATTAAATGCATTTAAAACGTGAAGAGCAATGATCCAAGATTCAAATTTAGTGTATTATTGGGACTATCACAAAATGAAATTAAAACAAAAAATTATGAAAAATTTCAGAAACAAGGAAAAAATTCAGTTTTGAAAAGCAAGGTAATCAAAGCCAAGGATAAAACCATGATTCCATATTAGGTTTAAGAATATTATCAGGTATCAAAACTTCGCAATCAAATTTTTAACAATAATTCAAACACTTATATATGAGACTTTCCAATGAATAAAATGTAAATATGAAACAAACTAAATTCCAAACTAAAGTGAAATAAAGTTTCAGATTTCAGGATTTTGTTCACGTAGCTGAAAAAGAAACTATACTGATATTAGTTCTTAAAACGGAGTTTTCTTATGTAAATATAAATGCCCCACGACATACTATCTCTGCATTAAGAAAACAAATAAGACACATAGGAAATGAACTAAAAGAAAATACAACAGGTAGGAGTAAATAAATGGTTGCCTGAACAAACATAACATCCAAAGGAAATAAAGATATATGACTCAGTGAGGAAACTGCTCATGATTCAAGTGGACATGCAAACCCTAAAATGAAAATCACCCTCGCTTCATATAAATGAATAATATCCATTAGGCTACTTTTTGATCACTTACACCCTAAATACACTACAAATAATTTGCTCCATTCATAGCTACAAGAGCTCCCCTATGATACGAGGAGAAAAATTTAAAACTTTGTGGTTGAAAAACATTTTTCCACTATGAGTAAGTAGCACAGTGGCACATATATTTTGAGAGCTAAATATTTATCACATCACTAGCAAGCTATACATTAAAGGACAATTATTAGAGGAGGGATTCCTACATTTGTCAATTAATATTGTAATATTATCTCAGCTTTCTTTTAAATGAAGATAACTTTTTCTGATAAAGGTATACTCTTTGTGTAATATCTGTAAAATGAAGAAAATTAAAAGGAAAAAAATAAAAGTTGTCCATAATTCCACCAAAACTGAGAGATTTACAGGCAGTCTTTTTTCTACACGTGAGTATGTATGCATATAAAAGTATATTTTTTGCACCTAATTATACATGTTGTGTGTAAAACATATTTTTCCTTTACCATTACAGAGTGAACATTTTCCCATTTTTAGGAAGAGAATGTGCTCCTTCATGCTACTAAAATGTGTAATACATCACATTTCAGTCCAGGTTGCAGAAACCTTCACGAGATATCTAAGAGGAGTAAAGTTGTTATATTACCTTTTCATCATGAATTGCTGATTATTATTCTTACCTATCTCCGTTTCAGTATATGGAGTAAACAATTTCTGCACAACTGGTTCTAAATCTTCTCTTGCTGTTTTAGAAGATGTACAAGTCAAATGAACCAAATCTGTTTAAAAAAAAAATGTATCTTGAGTTCCTATTACACACATTTGGCACTAAACTGGTGCCAGGGGAAACAGAGAGCTAAGCAAGTCATGGCTCCTGCCTTTAAGGAATTTATAATCTAGTGATGGGAACATGTAGAAACCATAACAATATGCTATATGTGTTAATAGCTAAAATATGTGTTAACTAATAAAGAGCACACTAAGACCCAAGAGGAAGTAGCAGTTGGTGGTTCATTTTGTAAAACTAGCAGAGTAGAAAATCTTAGCAAACCATTTATTCATAGAAAGAGCTTAACTTATCCTTATAACATTCCCAAAGAGGCTGGATAAAGGACTGCTAAGCAAAGTAGAAGTATGTAAAAAAGATTGAAATGGAGTATTTACCTAGAGAACACACTTCATATTCTTCAGATGGAAGAATCCATTTATATAAACTTTACTGATAAGTTAACATATCTATTCATTATAGGGTTTTCTAAGAAACCTTTTCGGGGAACACTGCTGGCTAGGTTTGAGTGATACATATACTTGAAAGTCCATAAAATGGCACAAATGAAAGCAGTATATAGTATTTTCAGAAATCCCAAATCACTTCCTTTTTCCATTTACAGATTCATGGGGCCTGGCCTTGGAGAATGTTTGCATTAGAGAATATCATGAACAAAAAAGGCCCTTCATAGGAGTAAAGTACGGTAGCCTAATACACTTAGAATTGCTAAAGCCCAACACACAAATATAAAGGAAGGACAAAAAGTTCTGTGTACTGAAAGAAAGGACTAAGGGGATCCCTAAATGGGAGAAATTCTTATGGTCCAGGAAAGGGCTTGGGGTAGGATAAAATAATAACAGAAAGAATATATTAGAGAACAGTATAAGTACTGAGAAATTCTTTCCCCTAAAAAGCCAGTAGAAAAGTATACTCACTTCTTTTCTGAAAGTTTAGACCAGTAGACTTTTTTTTTAAACCCCAGGAAGACAGTTCAAAGCTTATCATGGAAGTTGACATCAGAAGTGGATGCTCATTATTAAAATTCCATTCTAAGCATAAACTGAGGACTCTTAATAACCATCTGAGCTAAAATCAAATTTTGTAGTATTTTTTTTTCAGGTCCACCAAAAAAAGTGATATTCTAAGAGGGTTTCTATTTTATTTAAGAATAGTTTTTACATGATTGTAACAATGATTCCTATTGATTCTGGGATATAGTAGGACGTATGGTACTAATCATTTCAAAAGGTATAATAACCTTCACAACAAAATTATTCCTAATTAACTAAAATTTTTCAAATGCCATATAACTTTGCTGGGAAGTTTAAACGACCTAGGTAGTTGCTGAATTAAATGGGGTATATAACTAGAAAGGCAGAAATTCCTGATAAAACTTCAGAGAAACTGTCCTGTCTCATAAAATACCAATACTCAGGCCAAAGTTCTCAATTTTTCAGTTCTTCCTATTCAATTAATGTGTACTAGAGAAAAAGCAGATGAACATGAATATAAATAAAAGTATATATTTAATATCTTAAGGGTAGACTACTGGTTCCATTTAACAGGATATATAAAAGAAATATATACTGGAGTAATTACATCCTTATATTTTGTAACAATATTATCATAGTTTGGTTCAGGGAGTGCCACCAAAAATTTCTAGTAGTCAAGTCAGATTATCACCTTACACTTAATGAATTTTATAACAATTCTTAGAAAGAGGAGTGCCTGGGGGGCTCAGCTGGTTAAGCATCTGCCTTCGGCTCAGGTCATGATCCTGGGGTCCTGGGATCAAGCCCCTTGTCCAGCTCCCTGCTCAGTGGGAAGTCTACTTCTCCCTCTTCCTTTGCCCCTCCCCCCAATCATGCTCTCTCTCTCTCTCAAATAATAAAATCTTTATTTTATTTACAAAATAAAATAAAAATAAAAAATAATGTAAAAAAGCAAAAAACAATTCTTAGAAGAAATACTAAAACATTCATAACGTGAATTCTAATGTCTGAACATGGATTCTGATTAGATGCTACATTATTAATTGACCTAAAAATTTAAGGTATAAACAACTATTTTTTTTTTCTCCCTACACTTCCTGCTTTTCCTGTTATGATTAAAGTAATATAGACTACTACTTATTTAGGAAGTTATATATGAACCTCATGGTAACCACAAACCCAAAAACTATAATAGATACACCAAAAATTAGGAGAAAGAAAGCCAAACATAACACTACAGAAACTCATCAATCACGAAGAAAGTAAGAAAGCAAGAGAGGGAAAAGAACTACACAACAACCACAAAACAATGAACAAAATGGCAATAGAGATACCTAGCAATAATTACTTTAAATGTATTATGTGACTTTAATTCTTCTCCACAAAATTAACTTGCTCAATAAATGCTAAAAATGACTACAAACAACATCAGATGGGGCAGGTGCTTTCCTAAAAGCATTACACTTATTAATACAAATCAAAAACTATTACTAAGATTGCAGAAGATACATCAGAAGTGAAAATATTACCCATTGGCATCATGTAATATTATAACTGACTCAAAATTTTTTAAAGCTTGGCTCTAACTTTTATAAACTATGCTCCTTTTACTTCATTTAGCAACTGCTTAAAGTCTTAATCGTCTTAAAGATGATGAAATGTATTTTCTATCACAATTTCTCTGCTGGCAATACTACTTAGATTTGATTGGCATTAAAGAAGCCTTAGTGCAATATAAGCTTTAATTCATAGAATAAAACAGTAACACTTGAAAAAGTTTGGGGAACAGAGTGCTAGTCACAATCAGTACCACTGAAACAAAGATATCTGAAATTCACAAGTCTGACATCACTCAACATGAAACTAGAAATACCACCATGCTTTCGTTTTAGTTCTCTAAAACTTCTTGTTCAAATCTGCATCTGTCCCAATGCAGTGAGACGCTCCCACAAAAGACCAGTGCAGGCCCCCGCCACAGGACTTCCCTAAAGTTTGGAGTTTTAAAAATTAGCAGGCTTGGGATAAATACCTAGTAGTGCAATTGCTGGGTCATATGGTAGCTCTATTTTCAACTTTTTGAAGAACCTCCATACTGTTTTCCAGAGTGGCTGCACCAGCTTGCATTCCCACCAACAGTGTAGGAGGGTTCCCCTTTCTCCGCACCCTCGCCAACATCTGTTGTTTCGTGACTTGTTAATTTTAGCCATTCTGACTGGTGTGAGGTGGTATCTCATTGAGGTTTTGATTCGGATTTCCCTGATGCCGAGTGATGTTGAGCACTTTTTCAAGTGTCTGTTCGCCATTTGGATGTCTTTCGAAAAATGTCTGTTCATGTCTTCTGCCCATTTCTTGATTGGATTATTTGTTCTTTGGGTGTGGAGTTTGTTACGTTCTTTATAGATTTTGGACAGCGCTCACCATAGCACATACTCTCCCCAATGTCTATCACCCAGCAACCCCATCCCTACCACTCCCCACCACTCCAGCAACCCTTAGTTTGTTTCCTGAGATTAAGAATTCCTCATATCAGTGAGATCATATGATACATGTCTTTCTCTGACTTATTTCGCTTAACATAATACCCTCTAGTTCCATCTACGTCGTTGCAAATGGCAAGATTTCGGTTTATTTGATGGCTGTGTAATATTCCTTTTTTTTTTTTAAGATTTTATTTATTTATTTGAGAGAGAGAATGAGAGACAGAGAG